CCTCCCCTGGTGGTGTTTGGGTTGCCCCAGAAGCTTCTCACTGCTCTGAGATCCCCAGCTCGATAATAATTCCCATTTCCTTTAACAAAAGCTTTTGGACAGCTGTGTCCTCCAGTCCTAAACAGTGAAAACAGGCACATTTATGTCACTGAAATTTATATCCACAGGTTTATACCCCTATGTTATCCCAACTCCTGGGGGCACATCCAAACATGATCCATGGGATATTGGGATGTCCAGCATGGAAGTGAACACACAAAGGCTGTTGTTTCCTCACTGGCTCCTCCAGGATGAAAATCCAGGATTTAAACCCTGACAGGCTCAAGGGAAGACACAAGGCTGGACACGTGGACCGCGCTCTGGAATCCTGGTTGGACTTGTAAAAAAATCCCACAGGTTGACAGGTCTAATCTAGTCCTGAACTGGGCAGTTCCCCCATCCCACTGTCTGCAGGTGAGCAGGAATGGCCTGATGGTGGAACTATTGGCATGTTTTTCATGGAATCACGGAATCACTGAGGTTGGAAAAGTGCTCTGAGATCGAGTCCAACTCACACTGCCAAGGCCACCAGTGCCCCCTGTCCCCAAGTGCCACATCCACAGGGATTGGAAATCCCTCCAGGGATGGGGAATCCCAAAGGCGATGGGGGGATCCTCCTGATCCACACCTGGAGAGCTGCTGGCAGCTCCATCACGTGGGGGATACTGGATCCCTGCTGATCCACACCTGGAGGACTGGGGAGGCCCCCCTGGAATCCTGGGGGAAGTTCTGGGCCCTCAGCCAGGAGAGCCATGGAGGGGCTGGAGCGTGTGCAGGGCAGGGAAGGGAGCTGGGAAGGGTGTGGAGAACTCCTGAGGGAGCTGGGGGGGCTCATCCTGGAGAAAAGGAGGCTCAGGGGGGACCTTCTGGCTCTGCAAGTCCCTGCCAGGAGGGGGGAGCTGGGAGGGGGTCGGGCTCTGCTCCCAGGGAACAGGGACAGGACAAGGGGAAACGGCCTCCAGCTGTGCCAGGGGAGGCTCAGGTTGGCCCTGAGGAGGAATTTGTTGCTGGCAAGGGTGGTGAGGCCTTGGCAGGGGCTGCCCAGGGAGGTTTGGAGTGCCCAGCTCTGGAGGTGTCCCAGGCAGGCCTGGCCGTGGCACTCAGTGCTCTGGGCTGGGGGACAAGGTGGGGATGGGGCACAGGGGGGATCCATGGGCTGGGAGGGATTTTCCAACCTCAGGGATCCTGGGATTCTGAGGAATGTGGTGACAGGCACATGGGAGCAGCTCCAGCACTCAGGACAGCAGCAGGAAGGGCAAAGCCCGGCTGGAGCAAAGACTGAGAACAGACTTTAGGCAGAACAAGGATATTTTTAGTGTCACAGTGGCACCAAAAGGAAGTTCAGGGAAAATGCGACTCTGCAGATGAAAAATCAGCCGTGGAGAAGTTAAGACAGGACCAAAGTCAGGCTTAACTTGGCTTTTTGTCTCAGTGTTCATGGGCAAAGCGACCTCCCAGAGCTTGGAGGGCAGCGCACAACGTCACGTGAGCCAGAGGGAAGCAACAGGTCAGGGAATTCTTGGAAGAGCTGCTGCCTCCTTTGGAGGAATCCAGAGGAGGCCCCAGAACTGTTCCCAGGGCTGGATCCCTCTGCTCTGGAGCCAGGCTGGGACAGCTTGGGGGGATCACCTGGAGAAGAGAAGGATCCAGGGAGACCTGAGAGCAATGAGGGGGGATCTCTCCAGGTAATCCCTGCTCTGCATTCCAGACCCCTGGGATGAGTCTCCCTCCCTGCTCTGTGTTCCAGGTCCCTGGGATGATTCCGTGGGGAGATCTCTCCCTGTGAGCCTGTGGTCCAACTGCTGCCTTCAGGGGTGTGGGACTCCTCCTGGAATGCCAGGAACAGCATCCCGGGATGGTGCCAGACCTCCTCAGGTGCTGGGAGAGGACCAAACACAGGAAGACCTTGGGAAGCTACTGGAGAGACTGGGAGGACTGGGAACTTGTTATTGGAGTGACCAGACTGGTTTAAGGGTCGGTCACTGGTGGTCAGGCTGGAGCAGCCAGCAGGGAACTGGTCTGTGTTGGTGCCAGAGAGATCTGGGAACTGGAGACAGGACTGCACAGACTGAGGGTCCATGACCTGGGGGATCCAGGTGTGGGTCAGATCCCACTCCAGGTGGTCCATCCAGCCCCTTTCCTGTCCCCACCAGTTGGGCTCCAGGATCCAGGCAGTGTCCTGCCACTGGTCCCTGCAGGAAGGAGCCATTTGTGGTTCCAGTCTCTCACACAGAGACTGTCCCTGTCACCAAACACTTCCCAACCTGGAAACGCCTCTCAGGGCTTCCCACCTGGCCTGGAATGCAGACAAGGGGTGACCTGGAGAGATCCTGTCCCACTGACTCATCCCAAGGGTCTGGAATGCTGACCAGGGGGCTGACCCACTTCTTCACTGGGATTTGCCCACTCCAGTGTGGAAGCACCTGACACCTTCCCCTCTGTCCAGCACTGACCTCCAGGACTAAGAAACCCTCAAAGCTAAAAGAACAAAGATCCATTTCGCCTTTGTTTAATTATTATTTAATTAATTCTTTCATTCAATCTCTAAGGGACGGTCTCAGGTTAGAAATGAGGCCTCAAACTTCCAAACTCCCCCCCCCCCCATCATTTTCCATCTAAATGGAAACATCTCCCTAATCCAAACGCCTGGGAAGGTCAGGGAGGGCATTCCCAGAGAGCTGCAGGAGGTTTCAGGGCTCCATCCCGCCATCTCCCTTTTGGAATCTCCCCCTTGGAACGTGGCTCTCCACTGCGGCAGAGCTGCTGTGCTCATTCTGAAGCCACCTCCAGCTTCCCTTCCCGGGAAACCACTCACGCTTGGCAGCCACGGGGGTGGTCAGCTCCTCTTGCTGCTCCAGAGGGAAGGAGAGCCAGGAAACACAGCTATTCTGCAGCTGAACATCCATCTGGGAGCGAGGGGAGAGGGGAGAGGTTCTCCCACCGACCAGCTCCCCGTGTGGCTTCATGTGCGTCCGAGATTCCTGAATTCCCTGCTTTGTGGCATTTCCAAAATGTCTGAGCAGGAAAAGGGATCAGCTCTGGGAGGGTTGGTAGGTTTGGGATCCTTGATCCTGCAGCCTTCCCATTAACTATACATTCCATGCCCGTGAGGAAAAAAGGATTGCCAGGAAGATCCCAAGGAGCCCTGGGGGGAGCTGGGGGCTCCTCAGCCACCTCCCTGGAACGGGGCTGACAAATATCCATGGAAAAGAGCCTTTTAAAAATATATATTTAGGCTGGAAAATCCCTCTGAGCCCCATGGAGTCCAACCATCCCCAGCACTGCAAAGACCACCAGTGTCCCCAGGTGCCACATCCACGGGGCTTTGGAATTCCTCCAGGGATGGATGGGGACTCCCCCCCTGCCCTGGGCAGCTGTGCCAGGGCTGGACAGCCCTTTCCAGGAAGGAATTTTTCCCAGTATCCAGTTTTCAGCACAACCTTCAGACCCCCAAGCAAATCACTGGAGCTGAGCTGACCAAGCACTGATGCCCACCAGCGCCAGCAGTGCTGTGAGACCAGTTCAGCTTTATTCCCAAAATCCCACTCATATCACTCCTTTTCCATTGGGAAGCCATTCCCTGTGTCCTGTCCCTCCAGGCCTTGTCCCCAGTCCCTCTCCAGCTCTCCTGGAGCCCCTTTAGGCCCTGCAAGGGGCTCTCAGGCCTCCCTGGACCCTTCTCTTCTCCAGGTGATCCCCCCCAGCTGTCCCAGCCTGGCTCCAGAGCAGAGGGATCCAGCCCTGGGAGCAGCTCCGGGGCCTCCTCTGGACTCTCTCCAGCAGCTCCACGTCCTTGTGCTGCTGTTCCCAGGGCTGGGGCAGCTCTGCAGGGGGGTCTCACTTGAAGGGGCAGAGGGGGTTCTGGGCTGGCTCATGCCCAGCCTCACCCACCAACACCCCAAATCCTTCTCCTCAGGTCCCCCCCCCCCAGGCTGTGCCAATCCATGGTCACTCCACAGACTCCACATCCACCTGGCCTCATCCCAGCAACGCTCCCTTGGAACGGGCAGGACCTGTCCCACATCCCCTCCTGCCCCATCACTGCACACCTTTGTTGGAAACCCCCAAAATCTCTGGGATCCTTTGGAACCAGAACACGGAACAGACCAACA